GATTCCTTACTAAACATTCTATTATCTCTACGTGAGATCTAGGCGTGAGTGCAAGCTAAATTTAAATTTTGCAACGCACATATTTATCACATTTTTAAGCTGATCATGAACCGTATAAGATTATTGAGATCCACATCCTCCTTGTTTTATCTTCAAGTCCTATTTCTATCTCTACTTCTACCCCGAAAATCCCACGTCACTTTTTATCGAGATCCAAATCCTCCCCGTTTTTATCCTCGAGGTCTGTATCCATCTGTGCTTTTATCTCAGTGATCCCTATTACCTTTTGTTGAAGAATCCGTTTGCTGTTGAAGCTATGCAAGCTGGCCAAAATTAACTTGAGGGAAGTCCATGAACAGCACTTTCAGGAGTTGTGACGCATTCTTTTTTCCATGGATTCAGAAATGAACATCGAAAACATTGTAAATGGTACTGAAAAGAATGGTGTTGATGTTGAAATAAGAGAAGGATTGGCACAAATGGATGACGAGCGAGAAGAAATCGTGAAGATGTGGAAACATATGGATCAAAAGTTGGAATCAAAAGCTAAATCGCTTAATCTGACTGCCGTCAATGTTAAATCCATTTTACATGTAAGTTTTTTTTAGTTCTTCACAATTACTACTACGGATTTGGCACACTGGAAATTGGCAGTGTTATCGTGTAATAGGTTTGGAACTCGATTCCACCCCCTTTCCTTGGGATAACTGGTTCCTCTACTATTCATTCTTTTGATGGTAAATTGGTATTGGTATATACCAGGGAGTTAAATCTTCCATCATCAGCTTGCCTGTAAGCAATCATCGAATGAAGGACAGCCTCGCCAGCGGGTCCAATACAAGTAACGCACAGCAAATGCTCAAGTACTGCACTAAGAAACGGTCGTTACTTGTACAAGTGGGCGGGCACAGATAGATTAGCGGACGGGCACCGATGGAAGTGGGCGGGCAGCGATGGAAGTGGGCGGGAATCGATGAAAGTGGGCGGGCACTGATGGGTTAGTCGACAGGCATCGATGGTAGGCGTGCCATTCTCGAGCATTACACGAGCAACACTGGGTGTTTATTTAGGATCAGCTGCCATTGCGCAAACTCTGATGGCATGTTATCTGTAATCTGATTTTTTGGTGTAATTGCCAAGTGGACAGGACATGCTGTTCACGCTGCTGGTAATTGGGAGACATTCCGTATTAGGAAGCGGTATCGGCGAGGAATTAAATAACTGTTCAGGTTCCTTAGAAGCGATATCGCACATGCACTAAGCAGGCAACGAGTATTAATTGTGGTGTGCAGTTTAAGATGGAAGAACATGGCATGGTTGCTCCTTGAGTTTGAGATTAAAATGGGAATAAAAAGTTATTTGTGGCAGATCCCCGCACAGATTATTCGGGCAGTCTTGATAATTTTATTTATGCTGTAAAACTCGGTACTATTAAGTCCTAGGTACTTTGATTAACTGATTTTTTACCGCAGAGCAATTTCATGACAAATTTAGCTGGTAAACTTTTTTCGGCTGCTGTATTTAAAGCTGTATCAGCGAGTGTGAAATTTCGTGACAAATTTAGCTGGCAAACTCCTTTTCCTTTTTTGGTACATTGCATGCTACTTTGCTGCAACCGTCACGCTGACGTGGTCCAGTTGCAGCACTGAACAGGAATATATGCGATTTAATGGACCGAAACATTCCCATTCAGATTTTAATTTTAATTTATTCACATTTCCTTCTTTATTTCCTTATATCTTACATAAACACATACCAACTAAAATTAAAATTAAAGTTCAGTCTGTTCGTAAGCCCCGGCATTATTTTATAAGGTTTTCTATGCTACAGTCGGTTTGAGTGACGGGTTGAAGCACTGTTTTTATGATCACCACCCTTTGCTGCATCATCTAATCCTGTCTGTGTTTGCAGCCCTAGGATAAAGCATGCAAAGATCTTTTTTTTTCAAAAAAGTGCCATTGATTTCACCAGATTTTTTACCTAAATGTCAAGATTTTACTTGAAAAAATGCCAGATTTTTTCGCCTAATGTCGAGCCAGGGCATTTTAAGAGTGATCTGAATCCGACTGCTGCTCTCTTCCTTAATTTTCAAAAACTTCGTCCAAAAAGCAGAACACTTATCTCACCGATATTCTAACCTCCCAAAAATTGTAGTGAGGCGAGTCTTTTGAACTTACAGGAACGCAACTGAAAAAAAAAAATTTCACAGAAATTGATGATTTTGTTTTAAAATCGTTTTTTTTTGCAGCATATGATAAAAAATCCACAAGTGATATCGCTTATTATGGGATTAGATCAAAATGATGCAGTTTCGGATCTCAAGTTAACCCGATCGAAGACGAAGCATTTACCTGGTCAAATATCGGTAATAGTTTTTCTCTAATTCACCTTTTTTTATTAAAGGTTGAAAAGAAAATATCAGGAGAAGAAGGAAACAATGAAAAGAAGGAAAAGGATAATAAAATGGGAAAGGGGTCTAAAGATATATTTGTTATAGGTAAGAAATTTTTCGGTCCATTAAGTCGTATACGTTTCTTACCATTATCACAATTGGACTTCGTCAGTACGACGATTGTGGTAACAAAATAGTTTAGTGAGATATAGAATTAATTAAAAGAAATGTGAAACAGAAGAAATGAAAGAAAGGAAAAAATGAAAGACCGTAAGCAAACAGAAGTAGAAAAGTTATAGAATTTTACAGTTATAAATTCTAGATTATTATCTGTTGATTACTTGCTGCTTATTAAACCCCATATTATTAAAATTGTCCGGGACCAGTTAGTTCCGTTTTGCAAATTAATTTTCAAAATATTTTGCATTTTTTTGCTACCTCTAGAATAATATGGGGGTTTTTTTCCGCAGCATAATGATCAAAAAGCAATCGTAACGGTACCACGTGTTTCTCGAACATTTCTTGATATTGATTATGAACCCAATGAAGATGAAGACGATGACTACCTCCCGGAACAGGTCCAGCTTTTTTTGTGTTTTCTTTGTTTTCCTTGTTATCAAATGTAAAATTTGTGTAGTAATATTCATTATTTGATAAATTTTTGTAAATTGGAATAATAGTCAGGAAGCAGCATTCTTAGGCGGATATTTGCTGTTCATTTGTGCATCAGCAAACTAAAACGACTTTTTGCTCAGGCACATATCCGCTGTGTACAGACGCATCAAATTTTCTCGTACGCGGGGCCCAGACGTACTTAAGGGTTGGTATCGCGATTCTGGGATGGCACATGGCCGAGGAACCCACTAGCAAAATTTTGGCGCCGCAGCTTGCTTGGTCAATTTACCCGTCATAGTCTCATATTTCACTTATAACAAACCACCGAGGCACATCTGATTGTTCCGGTTTTTATAGTACTTTGCCACTGGTTTTCTCAAATCCGCTAATGAAACTGTAGTTCTCCTGTCCAGAATTTGCCGAAAAAGCCTAATTTTACTTTATAAATTTAGGATGAAGATGCAAGTGAAATAGGAGACGATTTGGAAATTCTTGGTGATGCATGCGACGATGCACTTCAGGTACCATCATAGGCAAATTTTATCATTTTTCAACAAAAATTTTTAATATTCCATTCCCTCATTGTCACATTTTTTCTAAATTTTTCTGGAGCTGGCAATTTCTCCATTCCAGTGATTCTAAACTCGTAATATCTGCATAATTTTATTTAATCGCTTTTTTTCTTATTGTACTATTAAATCCTCAGTGTTCGATAGGAAGCTAGCTATGTCGTACTGCAAACTTGTTGCTTTTGAAATATTTCCGAGTGTTTCCGCCTCTCATAGAAAATGATTATGGGAAGG